AAATCGCTATAACACTAAACTCTCACAAGATTGAAATGAATGTGTCTTTGCTTTCAAAGAGAGCTACAAGGATAATCTCTCAAAGATAGATATACAATATTGAAGCTCAAAAAATAAAAAATCTCAGAAGCAGATAAGCATATAGCTTAAGCTTAGTGTTCATGTTCTGAAGGAAAATGAAAAACTCAGTTGCAGAACTCTTTAGAAAATACAAAAGAACGGAGAGTATGTGATTTATGAAAGATGAAGAAAAATGTTTAGTATGTTGCTTTTGATTCTGTATGTCTCTCTATCATAGTATATATCTTCTTCATTTCCCAAACCTCTATATATAACAGAGATGAGTGCTCTGTTTATTCTAATAATGCCCATTCTCTTCTTTCCATTGACAAGATGAGATGGTGATGGGTTGGGATGCTATATAATTCATTGCTCAAAGAATCTCTGCTACCCCTGTGTATTTTGCCCGTTGAATGATGGGTCATCTGATGCAAAAACATTTCTTTGTCTCTTCTTAGCATCTATCTGATATATTGAACTTTTTTTACAGTACAAGTCCACCCGAATGTCCCCCTGGAAGTCTGGTCAAGTCCGGTCGTGAAGGATGACTACCACGGTCATCGAGCATATTACTGGTCTAATAGCCAAAGCAATCTGGAGCTGAACTGGGTCAAAATTTCTCCATTGGTCGTCCGCCCAAACGTCCTCTCGGATGTCCACCTGGATGTCCATGCAGTAGAACAAAAACTTGGCTGAAATTTACTCCCACCGATCAACCACCCAGTCGTCCAGCCGGTTGACCACCCAAGGTGGTTTTGACCTACTGTGTTCTACTGCTGCTTCTGCAATGTTCTACTGTTTCTTCTGCTTTGTTCTTTGCTTGATTTAAGCTCCATTTTGACCTCCAAAATAACATAATTAAGATAAAAAGATGAATCAAATTATAAGATTTTAATCAATTGAACAAAAAATCAAAACCTAAATCAAAATATTTGAAGAACATTCATCAAGAATCATTATATTTTGAACTCCATTTTGATCTTTAAAACAACCTAATAGATTTGAGATGAATAAATCATTTAGCATGTTTTCAATAATGATTTGCTAAATTAATCATTCTGAAGTGAATCAAAACATTAAATTGAACATCATCAAAATACATTATATCTAACAAGTAATTTTCCCTTTAAAATTTGGGAGTTGGGTTCACTACCGTTCATTTTTTAGGGAATATCAAGTAGAACAAATTTGTAAAAAATTAAGTTAATCAGACTCTTTCATCTAGTTACATTGGTATTCACTTTTATATTTAAAATCATATTTACAATTCATTTTTTTATTTACAAATGTGATTTGATGAAGGGCATATTGATATTCGATCAATTTGATTTTTTACAAATATGTTCTACTCGCTATTTTCTAAAAAATAAATAGTTTAAATTATCAAATCGAATCCAAAACGGGTCCCATAAAGCACACAATGGTCACTGTTGTGCCAACTGCACAGCAGTAACCCCAAATTCTTTTGGTAGGTCTATTTATTTATTTATTTATTTAGAATTAAGTAACAAATTGATATATGTTAGTTCAAATTTTTTTCCTTTTTCTAAGATATGTTATAATTATAAAATAGACTTAATTTATTTTCACCCAGTACATTCAATTGAGTTATCAAAGACTACCTATTTTAAGAGCTTCTTAAGATTCACACAGACTCCAATTTAATTTCACTTGATAAATTCAATTTAAGTGTTGAATTAATTTATCAAACGGTTAGTTGACCACCTTAATTTTAATGATGTGGTCAATATTATAATATATGAACTTTACACTATTAAAACAAAGGGTAAATTATAAATTATAAATTACAAAACTAAGTGAGAAATGGCGAGTGGTGGCGTGGCGGGTGGTGGGTGGTGACGAGTGGTGGCGGATGGTGGCAGTGGAAGATAGTGGTGGTGGGTGGATGGCGACAGAAGACGGTAGTGGCGAGTGGTGGTGACGGAAGATGATGATAGCGGGTGGCGGGTGATGGGTAATAGCGGCAGGGGGGGGGGGGGGGGAACAACAGAAGACAGTGATGGAGGGTGGTGGCGGAAGATGGTGGTGGAAAGTTGTAGCAGGTGGTGGTGGCGGAAGACAATGGTGGAAAGTGGTAACAAGTGGTGGCGACGGAAGACGGTGGTGGAAAGTAGTGGTAGATGGTGGCAGGTGGTGGCAGGTGGCGGGTGGTGTGGTGTTGGTGGAAGATGGTGGTGGAAAGTGGTGGCAAATGACGGGTGGTGGCGGTGGAAGACGGTGGTGGAAAGTGGTAGCAGGTAGTGGTGGCGGGTGGTGGCGAGTGGTGGCGGCGAAAGACGGTGGTGGAAAGTGGTGGCAGGTGGCAGATGGTGGCAGCGGAAAAAGGTGGTGGAAAGTGGTGGCGAGTGGTGGCGGCAGAAGACGGTGGTGGGTGGTGGTAGCAGAAGACAGTGATGAAGGGTGGTGGCGGAAGACGGTGGTGGAAAATAGTAGCAGGTGGTAACAAGTGGTGGGTGGTCCCAAAAAAAAAAAAAACTGAAAACGTAAACTCATTTTTTGAGTTTACAAATTTTGGCCAAATTTATAAATAAGACCACTGGTTTATATATCAAAATATTTATCAAACAAGTTTTTATAACAGTTTTTTAAATTTTTGTAAATATAAACTGAAAACGTAAGTGTTACCAAACGCCACTGTTGCTTTCCTCTCCCTCAACATCTCCCATCAAACCAAACCCCTGAAATAATCTACCAAGGACAGCCCAAATCCCTACCACCTCAAATTTCCACTGTAGCTACTCATACTCTTTTAGGCACCGTTTGGGAAGATAGTTTAGGAGCTTTTTTGGCTATTTTAGTCGCAAAAGACAAAATATGCTCTTTTAGCACAACAAACAAAACATCACATCCAACCCATAATCATTACACTCTTCTCTCACAAAAAAAGTCAAAAAGTTAAAAAATATTTCCCAAACTAAGCTTTTTAGCTCAGGCTAAAATAGCCAAAAAAATCAAAATGTCAAAAAATTAACCCACTTCTTAGATATCTTTTGAAGTTTTGAATGTTTCTGTTGTGGTGAATGAATGAATTAGATATCTAGATTAGCTATAAATTTAGAATTTTGTCAACAAAAGTAATCAAAAATCTTCTTCTTTGTTTTTCTTTTTTTTCTTTTTTTTTTTTTTTTTTTTTTTTTTTTTTGCATTTTCAATAAATCCATTGGATTTATATTTCTTTAGCATTTAGCACGTTAGATTAATAAGTTTACATTAAAAAATGCACAAAAACAAAACTAAAAAGACACCATATGTGTGTGTAATGATTAGAACTTTTATTATTGACCATGCAATCTTTTATTATTTTGAATAACATCTTTGAAATTAGAAGTCATGTTTTATTTTAAAATGAGTGATATCAGTTCAACACATTATTTATACAAAATTATGTATATATTTTCTGTTAAAATAGCATTAGTCCTTAAAATATGGCAGCATTGCACTCAATTATAGAACGGTTATAACAAACCCATATGTTTCTTCCTAACTAAAACATGACTACATTAAGACTCCAACACTTCAAAAAAATAAAAATAAAATAAAATAACTTAGATATGATGGAAGCGGTTGGTACTTTTTTATTCTTTTTTCTTACTTGGAACATCGGAAGCACCAATTGATTGATTAGTCAGCTATCGTTTGTTAAAGTTTACGTTTTTAGTGTATGTTTATAAAAATTTTAGGATAAATTACATATACCCCTTGAAGTTTGGCTAAATTACAAATATTCTCTGAGTTTTGAGAAATTACAAATTTTCCTATGAATGCTATATTTGCATAACAAATTAGGGGATAATTTGTTATGAAATTTAAACCTCAGGGGGCAAATTGTTATGAAAATACAAACCTTAGGGGGCGGGATGTAATTTCCGAAACCTCAGGGGTATCTGTAATTTAGCCAAACTTCAAGGGAGGTATATGTAATTTGCCCAAAATTTTATATATTAATTTTTGTTTATTTTTAAAAAAACATAAATTACAAATACGTTTGGTTTAAACAAAACGTTTGAAAAATTTTAAAAACATAAACTAAAAAAATATATTTGTTCAAGCCTAAAATATTTATATTTATTTTTATTTTTTATTATTTATAACAATGGGATCATACACATTATAATTGGAAAAAAAAATATTGAAAAAAAATTTATTCGAAAAAAAAATTAATAAAAAAAAATTTTGTTAGTCAAATTTTTAAATTTCTGTTTACAAATCAACGTAAACTCATTTTTTGAGTTTACATTTTTTCAACTAAGACAACCATTTATAAACTCAAAAAATTATCAAACAAGTTTTTATAACAATTTTTTAAATTTTTATAAATATAAAAAACTAAAAGCGAAATGGTTACCAAACACGCCCTTAGTATTTGATTTACACTCCCAGATACACTAGTTTTCTTATTATTTGAAAGCACTATCATATTCATCAGTTGTTGGTTGCGTTTCAGCATTAACGATAATTTTTTTTTTTTTTTTTTTTGTGCATGATTACTTGATATAAATAATAATAATAATTGAATTCTCACCATTTAAGATATGGAATGAAAATCTGTATTTTCATTTCATAAAGTTACAATACTTCAAAAAAATATAAAACTACATTTCATTATAAATTTTATAACATTTTTTCAGCAGTTTTTTAGTTTAAATTTTAAGGTTTAGGGATGCGGATCTTGACTTGATAATGGAATAGAGTTGTCCGAAGATCAAAATTCAATGTGAACATAAAAACAAAATAACATAAAATTTGACAAGTGCACATTTTTAGAAAAATAAATAATAATGGTGTGTTTGTATGGTTTTCTGATTTCTTTGAAGCGCTCTAAACTATTTGACAAGTCAAAGTAGATGAAGACAATTCCCAAATATTAAGAAACCACCACAATCAAAGGTTGAGACATTGCTTTCAACTCACCTTCCTAATCCACCCACCTTCTCCTTGATTCAATAATAGTCAAGGAACCAGTTCCTCTCTCTCTCTCTCTCTCTCTCTCAAAAATGTTGGGAAAGAAGATTGGTTCTGTGAAAAAACTAGCCAAGAAAGTGAAAGTTACAAGTGCAGTTGAACGCGAGACATCACAATACGAATGTTTGTTAAGGGAATGCGATGAAGAGTCCTTGCCTTCTGCCACTGCCACTGTCACCGCCACAACTCCAACGGGGTTTTTGGCAATCTACGTGGGAGAGGGAGACGAGAGACAGCGATTTGTGGTGCCAACAGGGTACCTATCTCACCCTCTGTTCAAGATGTTGTTAGAGAAGTCTTCCAATGAGTATGGTTTTGAGCAGAGGAATGGGCTTGTTGTTCCATGCACTGTCACTGCTTTCCAAGAGGTGTTAAGTGCTATTGAATACGGCCAGAGCAAGTTTGATTTTGGAGAATTGGTTCAAGAGTTTATCTAGAGTGTAAAAACGTTATACTTTGCCTTATTTCTTTTTTCTTTCTTTCCTTCTACGTGGATATGAAAATAGGTTGGATAGAATTATTAATACGATTAGATTGAATGAGAAAATTAGTAATGTGCTTAGTACTAGGTTTGACATATAAAATAAGTTGGATTTGTTTGTATAGTAATATGATGGTACTAGTTAAGATTATATCTGTTAATTTACTTAAAATCCTCAATATATGAAAGGTAGTTTTGTTGTTTTTATAAAATAGAGTATAATGATACTTTCACCTCCAATTTTATAGGATTAGATTGTAAAAACCAACCTGCCATGGGATTACTAATAGGGATTCGTAATTCCATAAGACTGTCAATATTATAATATTCTTTCAAAACAAATATGATTATGTGAAATCCACTAAATTTTTAGTCTAATCCCACCACCTTTAAATTATAACAAAGCAAGCTAAATGAGTAAGACAAAGTTAATCTCAACTCATATTAATTGATTGATCATATTAGTCAATGACACCATATAAAATGATAATATGCATTACTGTTACACTAATATTTTAATGACAACAAGAGCAAGATGATGGATGTATCTCTATAGTAGAGAGAACACAGAATTACACCAATCTAATATACCTTACCTTAAGACATGAAATCCACAAGACGATACAAAGTTCAATTCTACTTGTACAAAAATTAATTATAAAATCAAACATAACCTTCTTACATGAGCCAGAGAAGATTGTCACCAATTTTATAATCAATTTATAGTCACTCCCAAATAAAGGGATCATCCAAGACCAAGCAAATACTAATAGGGCTAATTTATTTTAGGCTCTTATTTACATACATGCATGGCCATTGACAATGTAAGTGTGATGTTTATTTCATCAACTCTGTTACTAACACTACCACTTTCACACCCAGACATACCCAACAAGATGCAACACGGCTTGTGAGACCCACACAATAGTCATCCAACTTGAAAGAACATTTTGAACTTGATGAGCATATTTAAAATTAATTCTAATAATCTGAATTATTTATTTTTCAAAATTTATTGAATAAAATATTAATACAAAAACTCAAGATAACGGAATATCGTTAACCACATGAATAGATTACATTTGTATCACAAAAATGAATGATATATTCTTAAAATTATAATTATCGTTTATTTTTAAAAGATAAATATAATTTAAATATGTAGCTACTAATATTCGATTATGTTGATTTTTTACATAAAAATTCTATTAGAAAATATACATAAATAGCAAAATTAACAATTAAAATATGAGACAGAAAGATGTCACCACCTGTAAACGTGTATAGAATACACTCTCCTTAAGAGTAGTATCGCACCCCTTGGAGATAATAACTCGGCGCAAGAGGTACGGGCAGTCTACCCTCAAAAATTCACAACCAGCCTTCCTCAAGTGTGCACCCCTTATTCACAATGAGGGATATGCAGGAATCAACCTTTGATAGAACAGAAGTACTCGGAAAAATATAAAGGAAAAGACGAGAATAATGCTTTTTAAAAAAATAAAATAAAAATTTATGTGTGTGTAGAAACACATAAGATATGCAAGCATTTATAATGGAGGTCTGGTTATTTTCGATGTACTTAAAAAAAAATAAAAAAAATTGAAGGTCTAGAGAATTTAGAGGTCAAATCAAATCCCACCAAAACGCAACATTAATTTTGACTGATAATATGCATTACTGTTACACTAATATTTTAATGACAACAAGAGCAAGATGATGGATGTATCTCTATAGTAGAGAGAACACAGAATTACACCAATCTAATATACCTTACCTTAAGACATGATATCCACAAGACCATACAAAATTCAATTCTACTTGAACAAAAATTAATTATAAAATCAAGCATAACTTTCTTACATGACCCAGAGAAGGTTGTAACCAATTTTATAATCAATTTATACTGTCACTCCCAAATCAAGGGTTCATTCAAGACCAAGCAAATACTAATTGGGCTAATTTATTTGAGGCTCTTATTTACATGCATGGCCATTGACAATATAAGTCTGACGTTTACTTCAACTCTGTTACTAACACAACCACTTTCACACCCAGACATACCCAACAAGATGCAACAGGGCTTGTGAGACCCACACAATAGTCATCCAACTTGAATGTACATTTTGAACTTGATGAGCATATTTAAAATTAATTTTAATAATCCGAATTATTCATTTTTCAAAATTTATTGAATAAAATATTAATACAAAATGAAAATGATCAAATTTCAATAACTAATTGTTTAAATTATATTTATATTATAAAAATAAATAATTATTTTTAAAATTATATTTATCGGTTTTTTTTTAAAACAAATATAATTCAAACCTATAATTACCAATATCCGATTATCTTGATTTTTAATATCAACATTCAACGTAACTAGTAATATAGAAAAATCAATCCCAAAATAAATTCACTAAACTCAACTATTCTCAAATTTAGAGAATCCAAACCCTTTTACTGGTATGACCAAAGTTTTTTACTGAATTCACTTACCATTTGACATTTCATCCATGGAATAGTACAAGGCATAGATGGTGGAATCTATTGCACTAATACAATGACGACATTAAAAAAAAATTCAATCATTACATCTTCCAATGTAAGCCAAAAAAATTGTTCCATTTCAAAAACAAATTCATAACTTCAAAAAGGTCACATAATACCAACTAATTCAATTCTTTATCTGAAACAAAAATTTGACTACTACACAGCTAACATGAGGATGTATAATTACATGGGACATAGTATGAGAATCTGTAGTAGTTGAGTTATACCAGACCTAAAGGCTACTGATGATTGCTTGTGTAAACTTGCTGCAACTGAACAACGGCCGTGGAAGGTTTCTGGGATGACTGGGGAGAGGTTTCAGTTGGGTTTATGGCCTTGCCATTATCGGCAGGAGGCGGCAGACACCTTTTCGAGAAGAATGTGGCTATACTCTTTCTTCTCCCACTACCCTTCTCTGCAAATACAATACAAAACAGATTTTAATTCAATTGGTCAACTAGTTCAGTCTTCCAACAGTTAGAATTTGAAAGTCCATACCAGGTGAAATTGATAAGCCAAGCTTGTCCAAAACATCTTTCTTAACCTGTATGAAAACAGGATAACTAACATCAGCAAATAACAACTAGTTTCAGCCAATATATATATAATGCAACTGCATGTCACTCAGATTTTTAAGTCAGCCCACCTTCCAAACAAATAAGTTACAACAACTTAATAGTTTTAGCTTGAACAACTTAGAAAGATGTTACAAGCATGAAAAATACTGATTGGTTGATCAATGGTTCTAAAGAAATCCCACTTTTAAGATATATCATATCAAATCACAGTTTTTTCAGTTCTACTTTAAGCCATCTCAATTCAAATTACTTTTGCTTAAATATAAAATACTGCTACACAAATAACACAATATGTGCACGAGTTCATTAACAATTAAAACGGGGTTGCAAATCCAAAAAATCTAATCATGTTAGCCCAAGCTCAGCTTAAGTTTGACTTGTCACAGACTTTCAGGCTCATGAATGTAGTCAGACAAGCTTGAGTATATTTTTAAGCGCAAAATATAAAAGGTTTGAGTATAAAATCAAGTCAAACTTAATTAAACCCATGTTTGACTCGGTTCATCTCAAGATAAAGTTCAAAAGCCAAAGATTAATCTTGTAAACAATGGCTAGTTTAATGGATTTTGTGGAGTTTTAACTTTTTGAAACTATCGACAAAAACCAGATTTGTGACGCCCATCACAAGGTAGTTTTGCCCTGTATCAAAAGTAGCATACAATTGAAGAATCTGAAGTTGATTGATTGAATCAAGTTCTATGACCTCAAAACTCAGCTAGTTTCTACTTGCCTCATTTACACCCTTAAACCCTAATCCATTTACCATCTTATTTTATATACATATTTTTTCCCCCTACAAATTTATGTGGTCTGCTCAAATTAATACAGCACCCAGAACCTCGCCCTTCTGAAGGTGGTTTTTCCGCAAAGTATGACACCAAATCCACATTCATGTGTGAATCCTAACCTCAAACAATGAGAAGAATGACACTAACCTGCCAACGGTTATCCGCAAAGTCAGCTATCTCACGCACTTTATTTTTGAGTAGGGACTTTGAGATGGAGGGGAATTTCTGTTGCAAAGACTGTACCAACTTGTTAATACCCTGAGAGCATGATCGAATGACAGATACCTGAAAGATGTATAGTTCAGATTTGTTTCGGCTACAAAGTAGAGCGTAATATTGTCAAATATAAAAACTACACATTCAAAGATAGGGAAGATTTTCATCATCTACTACGGAACAAAATGTACTTACAATCTGAGGTAAATCTGAGTCCAAGATAGGCATCGCAGTTGCCATTGGAGTGGTGCAGGCCTTTCTATTTGAAGTGCAAATGTCTTGATCCTTTTCTCGGATATTATTATCAATTGGTAACTCTATAGATGGACCACCAGGGAACACACGCATACTTAGAGCTTGCAAACACATCTGTTCAAGTTTTGATGTACCAGTGAGCTCTTCAGTCATCAACAATGACGACTTCTCATGCATCAGATTCAATATAATGAAGGGCTGGTTTTTCCGAAGAGCACGCTCAGTCAAGTTGTGTAAATACTTCTGCTGTCGAAAAAATGAACTCATATCGTCACTGTCCAACTCCTGCTTACAACCAGACGAACTCTTGATCTCCTCATTGAAGTAATCAGATTCTTTTCTGTCAACTTGTACTCCCTGCATGCACAATTTTACAAGTATCATTGATAGGCAGATTAAGTGATTTTCAAGAGTCTTTAATCCTCTATGATACATGATAACAGTGTGTCATGTAGCCACAAATTGAATACCTTTCATCCCAACTAACCAACCCAGCTGGTAAATTAGTCTTTAAAAATGCTTAACAGCAAGTATAAATTTCTAGTTTCAACATGATCTATCACATAGTTAAACATATTAAATTACTACAAAAATGAAATTGGTTAATATAAGATGCTGATTCACAGCAGTAGTAGTACCTCATTTTCTGAGAGATATCCATCGGGTACAAAGAAGCCATCTTCGCTATCATCTTCATCATCAGCTTTTGAATACCCTTCCTCTAAACTTTCTTCTTGGTCATCTTTATCACAATCTGATAAGCTTTCACCAGGTTCCTCCTGAAACAATAAAATATTAGTCATAGATATCCTTTTAAATACTGTAAATGAATAACAAACTCAGACATACCTCTTCCCATTCTTCATCACTATCAATATCATAATCCAAGTCTTCATCCTTCTTAAAAGGGTGTCGTGGTCCAATAACTTGGCTGAAAAGACAATAACTACATGCAATCAACATCATATACCAAATACCCAATGCAGTCAACACATTCGCCCATCTCACAAAGTAATCGGTAGATTACAGAGGAATCTATAAGCATATAACTTGCACTCGTGAAAAAAGCAATGAACAAGGACAACACTAAGCATCAAAATTTATAAGCTTACTCTTGCTCATTAAGCTTACATAGTTCTCTCTTGAACATTATAATTTTTTGGCTGAACATGACAATTAGTGAAAACAAAAGATGCTATTTAAGTACATCCCACATACAGATTCAGAATATGGTGATTAATTAGTCGTATGGACAGTAATGTTGCATAAGAAGATTGTAATTATGTTGAATAATTAGGAAAAACACAACAGCTTGTACAACTGAAGATCACTTAGTTACATTGACTTTTGACCGTTGCAATACCCTCAAGCATGGTCCCCTAGCAAGTAAATCATGCAATTCCAGTGTCACATATCCAGATTATACTAGTGTGGGCAAACAACTCAAGCTATCTCTCAAATACCCATGACTTGGACTAGAGCACCAAGATTATCATGTTTCCACCTAGGGCTTCATTGAGACAGTAAGTAAGAGTGTTGGGGCAAGTTGATTACTATGTCTGCTTCTAGTTCCAATATTAAACAGCAAATATTATAAATAATTAGTTGAAGAAAGCACCATGAAATCATTTTTCCATCTGACTTATAGGATAACATTGACAAAACAGTGGGGTTTTATCTGGAGAGCTTCTGTAATTACATTCTCCTCAAGCAAATAGCCACAATTTTGCACTTGCAATATATAAAGAGCAATATGTACTTTAACTGCATAACAAAATATAAACTCAAGAAAAAGAAATTTACCTTTTCTTAGGCCAAATACCATAAAATGCAGGTCTACAGCTCTTATCAAACTGCAATAACTGCTTACTCGGGTAGTGCCTCTGACTGTTAGAAACAGAACTATCTGCATTTGTATCACATGATCTGCCATCAACTTTTGCTTCACCCCATCCATCAACAAGCTTCTCAATGCCCAACTCATCATCAAGGGCCATTCCTCTATTTGTACTTAGCTTGAGTTCCTTGACTACTTCTCTCTTAGGTTTTCTGCGTAAGCCCCAATGCTGTTTCCTGTTTGAACGAATTGCATGACCCAAGCAACGCCAAGAAGCCAGGTGCAACCTGCAAAGTGTAACAAATAGTCATTTGATTTCAGGAAACCAAGATTGACACATTCATTCAACAACAAAAAACAAGGAAAAAACTAAAGAAACCTACTTGCGAATATCCTCCGTGTGTATGTCATCTATTAGTGAAAGAGCACAGTCCATTGACGAAGTAACTGACTCATACATCTTTTCAATCCTGTTAAGGGATGAATCAGAAATTGTTGCTTTGGTTGAAGAGTGGTCCTTCTGGCAAGTTGAATTATTCTTGCTTCTTTTAAGAAACCGCTCCATGAGTGACGCTTGCTTTTTTAAGGAAAGTTGCTTTTTCTGTTCAGCTTCTTCCTTTTCCCTGCGTCGTTGATCTTTCTCTGCTTCCTCTTGTTGCCTCCTTAGCTGTTTCCTCAATTCAAACTCTTCTTTCTCGCGGCGCCTTTCCTCTTTTTCTGCCTCTTCTTGCAGCCGCTTTAGCTCCTTTTCCTGCAACAACAGAACAAGTTCAGAAAACAAATAACTAGACAGAAAAAGGTATTTAAATTGTTAACCCAGCAACGGGGCTACCCAAATCTAACTCAGAGGGAGGATAATTGAAGTACATGTGAAACCTTCCCTTTAATATTTTTCCAAAATTCATTTAACAGAAGATTTGACTTTCTTTATTTTCCAGAATAACCACCATCTTTGTTCCGAATAAATACTTTTCCACTCAAAAAGAGGATAATTGGAAGTACATGTGAAACCTTCCATTTAATATTTTCCCAAAATTCATGAAACAGAAGATTTGATTTTCTTTCTTTTCCAGAATAACCATCATCTTTGTTCCGAATAAATACTTTTCCATTGCGTACAAGCTTGTTTATTATACATTTAGGGTAAAAACACATACAATCAGTATTATTCCAAACCATGGTACAACTCTCCATAAAAGATAATTATAGCAATTTCTAAACAGCACATATAAGGTTTAGAAACTACAACTCACACTTTGCCACTTCTCTCTTTGAAGTTCTCGATCCAATCTTTTTTTCTCCTTCTCAGCTTCTCGTTTATTTCTCTCCAGTTGCTTGATTAGCTGTTTCTCTTCTCTTTTTGTTTTCTTGTCAGCCCTTGAACAATTAACAAACCGCAATTAAAGGACATATAACAAAGCAATGAAATATCGCCACGCAACTCTGAAAATACATACATGTTGGCACCATTTTTCTGCTCCATGCTTTGCACTAACAAACGGATATCCGCTTCACTTAAAACTTTACCAAGCCTTTCTGATGCTTTTGTAAGATCATGTTTATGGTTCTGATGGTTCTCTGGCATCTGTAGTGCACTGATCATTTCTGAAATGAATCACAAAATCAGTAACAATTGTATCACCTAGTAAAAATTATCATGTATAATAGGAAAGTTCTTGTTCAACCAGCCTATGCATGTGCAGTACCAAGTCATGGCAGGAACCACCAATAAAAAATGAGTACCCAGCTCATCAGATGAAAATCTTAAAACAAATATTATTACAAAGTTCTATAAAATAAAATAAAAATTGTCAGCTCTTGACATAACAGCTATACATACTAATCTAAAAGGATAACTTTAAAAAATTTCAAAATAAAATAAAATATAAAAATAAAAATAAAAAAGAAAAGAAAAGTAATGACTGTTGGTGTCCAACACATGTCTAGCACAGATTCAAAATCTTCATTCATGCTCCTTAGGCTGGAGATGTAAAGGGCAATTGATTTTAATATCATCTTCATAAATTATGTGCTCAGGTCCATAAGGACAAGCTGTAAATTTTCAACATGGTGGATTGATGTGGAAATGAAAATGGTGAAGTTATTGCAAATTATTACTAAGAAACTACTGACCAAAGACATTAAAATGTAAAGCTGAGACAATTTGGTCATAAAGTTGGGTTTGGCTGCTAATGACTGACATCACTCCATTGGCAGGGAAATTAACAATCCCCGTAATTATACGTTCAAGTTATGCCTGATAGCCGCAATAGTCCCAGCCATTATATTCCTAATATAATCACCAAATTTTTCGTAAATGCCATCACAACATATATTTATGAACTTCTTTTAACAGATAAATCTACAATAAACTTGAACTAAAATGATCAATAAAGCAACATTTTGGAAGATAAAAGCATGCTGACCAGAAGCAGCAGTAATCCTCTCATGAATCTTTTTCCGACAAGTCCGACGATTTTTCAGTGTCTCACGCATAGATTTTGGCATTAATTTCAGATCTCTTGTCTGCATTGTAAACAAACATAAGTTCAAAAGTGAAAAACTTGAGCCCACCCACACTTGTCGAAGAACAAAAAAGACTTGTTATAAACACACAAGGCTGAAAAGCACATAGATTTAATATAGCCAATAATGGTATATGTTAAAGAGCAATAAAGATTATACCTATCAAAATAGCATCCACAGCTACCAAATAAACAACAAAAATCAAATGCACACATATACATAAAAAACTTGAAAATGACAAATCCCAAAGATAGCTGATGATCACAGTTATCTGAAAACATCAATAATTGTATGTATATTAAGGGAAAATGAGATATAGACTCAAAATTTTAAATGACCAAAGCTACCACAAAATGGTAACTTTAGTTGCATTGAAAGTTATATACACCAAAGCAATGTTAACATGAACAAAGCAAATAAATAGTAAAATGAAAAACACAGTAGCATGTACCCAATAAACATGATAAATTGAGAAGAAGCAAGGCTCAAGTACACCTATTAAAATTGCAAAAGAGATAAATAACAAAGACGACTATGGTAAATGCTAATAGATGTACCCTTGAAAAAGATGTACATATGCACCCTAGTTATATCATTTTTTTCTTTAATTATGGTCAATTTTCTTCTATAACATTACTTTACTCATGACTCGTGACTCGTGAATTCTTTAATTATGCGTCATGTTGTGTATAGTTAAGTTATGACATTTTTTAAGTTATGACTTACAATGTTATTTTCTTTATTTTCTTTTTTAGTTATAAGATTATATGATACCTTCAAAAGGGGTGTATACCATAGTGTTTCCCAAAGACTATAGATATATAGTAGACATTGAAAATTAAGAAACAATTAAGAGGAAATATACCCAACAAATGCTTCAAATGGTTGACGAAAGACAAAGATTGAATATACCCGTGAATTGAAAACACAAATATTCAAAAAAAAAAAAAATAGAAAATTTTCACCTCCCAACACCATAGGCAGGACTCTGTCTCATCCTCTAAGATATCAGCATCAGCATTGGGGACTCCATACAAAGATCTCTGACCAATGAAAAGCACAGTGCTCTTCACAGAAGCAACAGTGGTGGAAAACCCAGAAGCAGAGCCACTCTCTCTCGCCCTCATCTTCTCATAAATGTGATCGACCAAATGCTTTAAATGGTTGAAGAAAGACAAAGATTGAATATACCCATGAATTGAAAACACAAATATTCACAAAAAAAAAAAAAAAGAATTTTTCACCTCCCAACACCATAGGCAGGACTCTGTCTCATCCTCTAAGATATCAGCATCAGCATTGGGGACTCCATACAAAGATCTCTGACCAATGAAAAGCACAGTGCTCTTCACAGAAGCAACAGTGGTGGAAAACCCAGAAGCAGAGCCACTCTCTCTCGCCCTCATCTTCTCATAAATGTGATCGACCAATTTTGAGAGCGAAAGAGTGGTCTCTTCGAGCAAGTACGCAATCGCCGAATTGGTCGAACCACACTCACTCAAATCCAAATTTATTTTATCATCTGAAACCTCTTTGTAGTACTTGAACAAACCCTCCATCTCTACGCGTAAAGCATTAACTCGAGCCTCTCTGTTTTCTGTGGTCAATGTCTGGACCAGTGAAGAAGAAGAAGCTCTCTTCCTCTTCTTGAGAGACTTGTTCGCACTGTTTTCGTGATCTAGGTTGCTGTTCATTTTCTTCGATTCATCAACATGGACGACCATTGGATCTTCCATCGAACCCTGACTTTGCATGTACACTCTCAAACACAACACCAATCGACAAAAAACCTGAACAACAACAACGGATGCAGAAATTCCCCTTTGATACAAATCTAGGGTTTTCGATATTTTCCCAAGAAAATTAATGAAACAGATTTTCCGGGAAAATCAACCGTTGATCTATCCCAAGAAAACCAAAACCCAACCAGATTGAGAATTTCTTCTGGGGGAAGGAAGAAATTGAAGGAAATGAGATTGACGGTAACTTGAAATAGAAAACCCACGAAACCAAACCACTCCACTACTATTTTTTTATTTTTTATTTTATTTTCTCTCTCTGAATTTCGCTTTATTATGGCGCTTTGATCGAGACTTTTTTTTTCTTTTCTTTTCTTTTCTTTTCTTTTAGGTTATGTTATGTTATGTTATGATGATATTAAATACTAATAATGCGAAACATAAATGGGTTTTTGGCGCCAAGAGAGAGAAAATTGTGGGAAGTAAATTTTTTTAATTTGGGCTCGTGAAATTCTGAATTGCGGAGCGGAGCTTCTTCCAAATTCAACATCGTTTTGTGTTTCGCGCCACGTTCATTTTGGGCATCCGTTGTGGAGCATAAGCCTACCCACGCGCGTGTTTGGCGTTCCTTTCCGATGAAAGTCCCACTTTTTTGGCATCGCCCAGCTCGTCTTATTTTTTTGGATTAATCACACTAATGTGGTGTTTGGCAAGCGATTTTAGGATTAAAATAGTCATAAAAAATAAAATAAATTATTTTAGTCATAATAAACAAAACATTACATTTAATTTAAAATCATTACATTTTTCTCTCACAAAAAAAATTAAAAAAGTTAAAAAGTCAAAAAAACCCTTCTCAAACCAAACTTTTTAACTCAGGCTAAAATAGTCAAAAAAAACTAAAAAATCAACCCACTTTCCAAACGAAGGCTAATAGTCCCTATAGTTTGGGACTTGTGTCGCTTTGGTCACTGATTTTTTAATTGTGACACATTTAATCTTGAATTTTGAATCTTGTTCCAAATAACGATAATTGAAAATATTATTAGATTTTTTAAGGATAAAATCGTCAATTTGATAAAATATAAATTAATTTGACAAAAATAAATGTCAAAAAAATATTTTTAATTTTTTTAAAATTGTTTTTATCCACCAATAATAAAATTATGTAAAATTAATAAAAATTATATGATTAATTTTTTAAAATTAATTTTGCATGATCATCAGCCAAGCACATAATAAAAATTAATTTGGTAAAAAAAAATAAATAAATGTCTAAAAAATTTATCAATTTTACATAATTTTATTTTTAGTATGTAGAAATAAATTTTAAAAATTTAAAAATATTTGTTTAACATTTTTTTTTGTCAAATTAGTTTATATTTTATCAAATTGACAATTTTACCCTTGAAAAATCTAATTATATATTCAATTATCCTTATTTTGAACAAGATTCAAAATTCAAGATCAAATGTGTCACAATTGAAAAGTCATGAACCAAAGTGACACAAACCCCAAACTATGGTGACTATTTATATATTTTGCCCTATTTTTAAAAAATTTTAAAAAATTATTGGGTTAATTTGATATGTTAATAGGTTAGAGTTGAAATTTATGTTTTTTACTCGGCTTAGCTCGTTATTAAATTAATTATAACATATTAAAATATATTTTATTTTTTGTTTAGATCTGAACTTACTGTTGTGTGATTTAATTTATTTAAAAAAAATCAATTTATACAAAAAAATTAATTTATAATAAATATATTTATTTAAGAAATATAATGTGTAATTCAAATTTTTAATTTTTTTTTAAAGAGCTTAATATTTAGGGGAATTTTTTTTAAGATCCTTGGTATTAAGATTTTACAGCATAAAGGACACTCAATATTTTCATAATGTCTAAAGTCTCTCAAGTTGATCCAGAAAAAATTGGTCCAGAAAAATTTCTCTCCAGAGAAATTCTGGATTTATCTCCAGAGAAATTTTGAATTTCTCTGACTTCGGAATGTGTTTTAACCAAATTTATCTTACTTCGGAATGTGTTTTAACCAAATTTCTCTGACTTCGGAATTTATCAAATGTGTTTTCATAATGTGTTTTAACCAAATTTCTTTGACGATGTTGTTTCTCATGATATCAAATGTGTTTTCATAATGTGTTTTAACCAAAATTCTCTGAATATGTTGAAAGAAGCTTTGGCAAAGTGTAACAGTGAATTGCAAGCTTCCAGGAGTATTTGGCAATGAAACTGAATTTTTTTTGGGTTGAGAATTTCTCTGGTAATTTAGCTCACAGAACGTCTTGTTCGATTTTTTTTTTTCATTTGAACTGAATTTTCTCTGGGTTGAGAATTTTCTTTGGAGAATTTTCTCTGGGTTGAGAATTTCTCTGGAGAAAATTCAGTTCAGATGAAAAAAAATAATTGAAATAGATGTTCAAAATAAAAAGAGAGAATGCTCCCCCGGTAACAATGGTGTTATGTTATCTCCTTCTCCTAATCCATGAGTGAGATTGAGCATGTGAGTTTGTTCTTTCGTAGGTTCATCTTCTCGCTTTTGAAGTTTTGGACCCGATTAAGAGGCAGAGAGATAGAGTTCTGCTTGGTTTTGCTTGCTTTGAGTTTTGTTGGTGTTGCAATGGTGTTTCTATTTTTGAGGGTGCTCTGGCCTGTGTATGGAGGTATCTTCCAACCAGCTACCATATCACTCCAGTTATGAGGTGCCGCTAGTATTTGTGTGGAGGATATTGCAGGTCTGGACAATGCCCGAGATTAGTCCATCTCTATTCCAGGGCCGAAGTTCTACACGTCCGAGGTGGCCCTGTTGCTCTTCTTGCGCTGTGATGTGAAGAGTGGAACCAAGCAGACAAATCGTTCGCAGAGTTCATACTGTTACTTGTAAATGGATTATCTTGTGTTTGTCATCAATCAAGCATATATATATATATGTATGTATGTATGTATGTTACATTTTATCCTTGATTATGCAAAATTTAGGGTTCAAAAGTCTTCAAATTTGAGTTCTAAATCTATCTCAGGTTCTATATCAATTTGTTTATCACTTGTAGGCAAGGTTTTGTAAGAGATTGATTGAAAATGGAAACTGAACCCAAGGCAGCAACTGAAGAGTCAAAAATCGACCTATTCGAAGACAAATTTCTCTGATATATGTTCAGGGACCTTAGACATCAAAAAATAATGTTGTGGATCTCTTCCATTACGAAAAGTGTGAGAGGGACCCTAGACTAATTTTCACTAATATTTATTATTATTTTTTAGCCGAGTTTGAAAAAATTTACAAGGCCGATATTAAGACCAAACCAAGCTTTATATATATATATATATATCTTCTATCTAAATTTAAAAAAATAAGTATAGATTATATTTGTGATTTCAATATTTTTATTCTTGTGTCAATTTGGTCATTATAATTTCTTTTTTTTTTGTTTTTCGTATTATATAAATTTATTCTAATTAATAACATTCATTAAGAAATTAAATAGAAGTCAAGAACAAAATGATTTAATCATAAGAAAAGATGATTCGTAGCTCAAAAATCTTTCAGTTCGAATGGCCCGACTGCCCAAAACGACATCGTTTTGGGGTTTTTTTTCCTTATTAGATCTCTAAAAACAGAGGAAGAAAAAGAGAGAGGAATAGAGAAAAAAAGAGAGAAGAGAGAGAGCTCCACCAGAGACTTCAGAGTTTCTTCTTCTTCTTCTTCTTCTTTTTCTTCTTCTTCTTCTTCTTTCAGGGTTTGAAATCGATCGATTTCATCGAAATCAATGGATATGGATTTCACAAAATCGATGGATGTTGATGATGATGATGTTGTTGATGATGTTGATGAAGATGTTGTTGTTGATGATGATGATATGTTTGATGATGATGATGATGATGATGTTGATGAAGACGTTGTTGTTGATGATGATGATGATGTTGATGAAGATGTTGTTGTTGATGATGATGATGTTGATGAAGATGTTGTTGTTGATGAAGATGATGTGTTGATGAAGATGTTGTTGTTGATAAAGATGAATACCCAGCTTCCTTTTTCTCTCTTTGTGTTCTTCATCTTCAAAGAGGAAAGAGAGAAAAAATATAAAAAAAATTCAAAACGATGTCGTTTTTTACTTGGGCCATTTGAGCCGTCTTGTTTTCGAGCTACCAACCGGAACTGTATTCATAAAATAATGAACCATTTCAACTTAGAAGTCAATTTGTCAATCATTTTGAGAAGAGTTAATCAACCATTTTTTCCTTTAATTTCAATATAATTGTTTTAAAAAAATATTATTAATTAGATTAGATTGACACAATATGAAAAATTTAAAAATAAATTGATGTTTTTAGAATTACAATGATCAAATTGACACAAAAAATAAAGGGAAAAAAAAAATTAAAGATGTTTTCGTTAAAGTTCTAGTTCATTTACACAAAAATTAAAGATGATCACATTTACATGTTTTTGTTAGAGTTCTAGTTCATTGAAAGTAAATTGGCTAGTTAAGATCTATAAAATTATAAAAGAATAAGAAAAACTTGAGAGAGTTGCTAATAAGCCCCATCTAATTACTTTTAAGCTTTGTTTGGGATAAACTTCTTTAGTTTGACCTTTTGACTGTTTTAATTTGATTAAAAAAGTTTTGTTTGTGATAAACTTTTAACTTTTTTTAGTTTGGATGTGATAGTTGTGAGAAAAAAAAAATGATTTGGATATGACATTTTATCTTATTTTACTTTTTAACTTATTTTATTGTTTTGTATGTTAAATTAGCCCAACCAACATGCCAAATGAAGCCTTAGGACCCTCTTTCTTTCAAAACTCCACACTCCAAAAGTACTTCCCTTATTTTCTTCTTTGAGTCCCCACCATAATTACAAATCTACCATTTGGACCCCCACGACTACAACCTTACTTCGGCAACCCCATATCTCCACCTCCGACAACCATTCCATATTTGGTGATCATTTCATTGCTCTATTGTCCTTTCATTTTCTTATCCTTCTCTTTTTGCCACTTCTTCTTCCACCATTGTTACCACAATCTTTATTCATCTTCTTTTTTTTCTTCTTCTTCTACAGCGGAATCTAAAAGCCTAAGAATTAGAGTCTTCAAATTATAGTGAAAATGAAGAAAAATAAAAGAAAAGTGAAATGAAGGAACAAGTCTACAGTGATGGCGAATAGCGAGAATAGATAAGGGCAACTTAGAAGAGTAAAGAAGGGGTAATAAAGGTTAGAGGTAAAATGAAAGTGGAGATGGTAGGGGTAGAGAATGTGGCCAAAGCTTGTGGTAGTGGTGAATGAGATTAGGGTTAGGATTCAAAGGTTATGGATGGAGTTAAAATGTGAAATTTGTGTTAGGATAAAATGGTAATAATAAAAAAACAAAAGAGATATGGGATCTCAAGTAATTAGGGGGACAACTATTTGCAACTACAAAAACTTCAATAAAATGGTAAAAAATGACTTTATATCGTTAGAAACCGTAGAACTCTCTTTGTTATTTTCTTTCTATACCTTTGTGCTTGTCTTTTCTACATCCACCGATGGCGTCTTAACTACATCTACCATTACTACCTCAACTGCATCAATCGTCATTATTTGTGTATGCTATTTTCACTTGTAACTGTCACTGCCCCTAGTGCTATTGCCATTGCCATTGACCTCTTCATCCACCAGCGCCACATATGCTCTATTATCTAGAAACATTGTCATCATCAATCTCTCAAGTATCATTCTTGTCTCTTTTTATAATATACCTCGCCGGTGTAGATATGTATATCGCTCACCTCCACTATCGTTTCTCTATCTGTTCTATTTACTTTCTCTTTATGATCTATATATTGTTGGTTGACAGAGTTTTAGTTGTTGTTATTTGTTTTGTATATTTTCTCTTATTCTACTCTTTCTATACCTTCTTTCATAATTAGTGAAAATTTTATGAGTAAAATCAATGAAATTTCTCTAACCAAAGCCAATGAAATTCATCAACCTTGTGCAATTTCATTGGCTTTGTATCATTGGCTAACCTCGTGTTATTTGACTAGATTTGGTCAATGAATTTCAATTGACTTTCAATTTTCCAATTTGCAACTACTCTGTGAAATTTCACTATGCTAAGACAGTGAAAAATTAATTACAATAATTTTTAGTTTTGCAAAGTCAATGAATTTTTCACTGATTTAATCTAAAAGTAAAATTTAAATAAAATTAGGAAAATTCCAATGTTATCATAATAAAAGTTCAATTGATTTTCAATTTTATAATTTTAACCATCAATTGAAATTTGTCTATTTTGAAATAGTAAAATTTCATTGACTTTCAATTTTGTAAAATTTAACTACTAGGCACCGTTTGGGAAGAAGAATATGGGGCTTTTTTAGCTATTGTAGCCACAAAAGACAATATAGGCTATTTTAGTCACAAAAAACAAAACATCATATCCAACCCATAATCATTACACTATTTTCTCACAAAAAAGTCAAAAAAGCCAAAAAACCCTTCTCAAACCAAGCTTTTTAGCTCAGGCTAAAATAGTCAAAAAAGCCAAAAAGTCAAAAAACCAACCCACTTCCCAAACCAACCCTAATTGACTTTTTTTTTTAATTATTTAAAAATAGTGAAATTTCACAATGGAAATGGTTAGCAGGGATTTTGATTGTGTTAAGTCAATAAAATTTCACTTCGTTAGAAAGTCGCTAAGAAATGGCCAACAACAATCAGTGATGGTCACCGAAAAGTTGTCACCAACAACTGGAGTTTGTAAGTGCTGATCAGAGGGAGTGGAGTAATGAAATTATACTAAGAGCAAGTTTGTTCCAAAAAACATAGAGTCCTTTTAAGTTAATAAACATATTTGAGTAGTTCTTAAACTAATAAAATATACTACTAATTAAAAAAATCCAAAACAAACTACAGGAACTGAATGTAAGTTCCCCCCCCCCCCCAACACACACAAACCAAAAAAAAAAAAAAAAAAAAATGCTATGATGACAATATTTTATTACCATGTCTTATTTATCATTTCATATGTCAAAATTGCACTAATAATGAACATAAAATCGTGCAATACATTAAATTAATACAACGTTAACAAATAATGTGCTAAATAAATTGTGATAAACCAACTAATACACGTTTATCCAAGAGGTCAGGAGGTTCAATACTTACTAAATATAAAGATTGACAATTTTTTCCTATAATAAATTTTGTTTAGTTTATTTCTTTTTTTATTATCCTAATTGTTGAGCTTATATATCTGTTGGACTATCATTGTCCTCTTATAATTCTCTTCATATTGTAGATACTCATATCAATTGGTGCCATTGGACAATGATAAATGTAATTATATGAGCGAGAAGTACATAAAAATATGCTTTCACTTGTTTTCAAAACAAATTTTTACTTTCTCATCTTTCCTTTGCCACCTTCGGCCACTACCACTACCTACCCAACATTGTCACTGGCCACCACCACCCACCGTTTGCTAGCCGAAAGCCTCCAGCCAACCACTACATACCTTTGGCCACCTTTAAAGTGATTCTTTAGCGACCGGCCAGTCACCACCCTAACTAGGAATGTAAGAAAAACTGAAAAAACCAACCAAATTAGTTAAACCAGACCAAACCGATTATATTTGGTATATTTTTTAACAAGAATCCATCTGTGCAGTTTTTAAATTTGATTTTTTTCGATTTTTGATTCGGTATCGATTTAAGCACCTTGTGCACCGATATAAACCGAAACCGACCGCTTCAACATATATTATATTTATAATATATATATATATATATATAATTTGATAATATAAATATATTAATAATTATAATAAATTATTAACCTTAATTAATTAATTAACCTTATCATCTTTATAACCTAAGTTTATAAACTCTTATTATATATAATTTTAACTTAACTCATTATTCTTGAAACCTTAGTATTTTTAAACTTTTTTTTGTTTTTATTTTTGTTAATTTAGGAATTGATATCAAATGGATGGATTGAATATGTTTGAAATAGTAGACAAATAACTAATTTAATATTTTTATATAGATTAATGATTATATTTAAAAGTGACTTAAGTTTGAAAAATCCTAAACTAATTAAACCGCACCAAACTAAACTGTTTTAATTAGTTCGGTTCGGTGTGATGCGATTTGATGGGAGAAGTGACTTATATCGGTATTTGAAATAATAAAATTAACATTATTGGTTCGGTATAATTTTTTATCTAAACACCGACCATACTGAACTGATTACATCCCTAACCCTGACCTTCAACTACCTTTTGGCGACCTTGCAGCTAAGCCCTCCAACCACCTCCCACCAACAATTATTACATCTCTACCCTCCACCATCAGCCACGCCACCAGCAACTCCCCAAACATGTTAATCTATTTTTTGTTTTTATTTGTTTTCAAAACATTTTTTATACCAAACAAATTTTTGGTTTTTATTCTTTTACAAAAGCAACAACTTGTTCCCTCTTTTTTGAAAATAAAAGAGGAAACTGACGATGCTAACAAAAGAAAAGAGTGAACTGAAATAATGTAGTTGGTGAACTCAATATCCCATTGTGATGAGTGGGGCGATTGACGGATCTGCCCATGGGAATCATACAAAACCAACTTTCAAAAGAAACAAAAAGCACTGTAAAGAGACCAACTGCTAATTGAACAAGCACAAAAATACAAACATTTATTTTATTGCAAAATTTAATAGAAAGAAATGATTAATCCTAGTTCATTCACAACGAATATCTAATACAAGATATAGCCCCATATTACACATCACCAAGTTCTGATAAATAAAAGCACACAGCCAACTCCTGCATTTGCTTATTTAAGAAAGCCTTCTTAAAAAGACAAATTTTTGGAACAAGAACAAGAAGTTCCATTGAAAAAATATATTTTAAGCCTGCAAGAAGCTTGCATACTTGGCACCAAGGAAAAGCCTCTGGATACAGAGTAAGGCATTTTTGGTGACCTCAGCGTTCTCATGGTCCATCAATTTCATCACCCGCTCCTTAGCCTTGAGGTCGGTCACTATGATCCGCCCAGCTGGATAGTACTGAATAAACTGTGACAGATCAAAGCAAGCAACAGCTAGTGCCCTTGGGTCTCTTGATGTGTCCAAAATCGTAACAAGGACCCTTAGGATCTGCAGTAGTTTTATATGCAAATATTAGTTTTACCCAAATACAAAATGGGTCAAAACATAGTGATCTATAGGCATTTTACTTATTTCTTTTCTCGTCAAATAATAGAACATAGAAATTCATTACAATAACAGCATGCACACGGAGAAAGAAAGAAAAGTCATTTTGAAATAAATACGTTTGCAGCAACCATGAGATCAAAGATATTATGAGAATATTGCAAAATCCTAAACCCACAGAGATGTGAGGAGCACAAAGAAATAACTTATAAAGGATTTCCTCAGTAGTCGCTACTTTCTTTGCCAAAAATAGTAACAAATTCATGAGATTGTTGAGGTCGCACCTATTGAAGATAAAGTACAGAAGAATTGATGCTGAGGTTTGGTCATGTACAAAAACATCAATAACTGCACCACTGAAGAGTGACACTTTCCACATTGAGAATAATAGGAGACAAGGGAGACTGAAATTAACATGGGGTGAGATAACAAATAATGACATGTTGGGCTGTTAGCTTGTAGTTAAACTGAAATAATGGTCCTTGATTGAGTGGAATGATGAAACATAATTCATGTAGCCGATCCCAAGTGGTTGGGAGAAGAATTTGCTGAATTGGGGTGAGTTAAAAGCTATGCGGATTTTATCAAAAAATGAATCACAATTGAAACCCTTTCATATATGCTACGAAGCATGGGTACTCTGAAAATGTTGCCGTACTCTTACCGGGTACTGGTACTTGTACTGATAGGGCTGCATGCGTACTAGATACTTGAAATACATACTGGGTACTTTTTATACATTCTTTGACAGTTGGGTACTTTATGGGTGCTTCGTGAGTATGGGATGGGTACATCGGGAGTACACCAAGCTATGGAACATTGGTGGAGATACATTTAATTTATTAAAGAGTTCTGATTTACTTGAAATTGCAAATCCTTTACTTGATGTGCCAAAGATGAAAGGTGTATTATTCAATGATGAAGTTGATGGAAGTGATTTCAAGTTCTCAAATTTTACTTCGCTTGCTTTTGGAATGAAACTTTGTTTTGTAATTTCTTCTAAATTTTACTTAGCTTTGCTTTGGTATTGGTATTGTTAAACTATAATTTCTCTTTTGATTTTGTAATTTATCCTTTCGGTTTTGGTATTGAACTTTGATTGTAGGTTGAATTTGAAACTTTAAATTATAAAAAAATAAAAAATTTATTGACGTATCCTAGCCGTATTCGTATCCTATTTTTTTTAGGTCTTGTTGTATTACCATACCCTTACCAGTATCTGTACTAGCACCCGTACTTCATAGCATTTATGAAATTAGGAAAATTCTATTCGCACACCACAGAAAATCTTAGTACACCATTTGAGCAATTCGGATATGAACTTTCGAACAAAAATCAAATGTTAGGACATAAATTTTCGAACAAAAAATAGTTGTTCGGATATAAAGTATGGAATGGAATCTATATCTAAACAATTTATTTTTTTTCCAGAAGTTTATGTCCGAACATTTGATTTTTGTTCAGAAGCTTATATCCAAACAACACATATGGTGTGTATTGATATTTTCTATGATTTGCAAATTACCCATGAAATTCTCAGGACTTGCCAAGTGAAACTACCCCAACTTGATCCAACATACATCCAAACAACAAATCTAATGAAGGGAAACATCAAAGGATCCCTTAGAAATGCTATCAAGTTTTGATGAGTTTGTTTGCTTCCAAGTTAAACTAGAGAAGATTTGAAAAGAACTCCATAAATTTTAACACTCCATTTGGCTATTGGATATCAAGTTGGAGAGGGTCATATAACTCAGTTTGATACAGGAATAGGGAAGATCAAAGATTAAAGTAAAAAAGGGATTGGAAAAGAATCCCTTCTTTTTCTTTTTCTTTTACTATCTTTTTGTACAATGAATTGTGAACAAAATGGGACTCCTCTTATCATTGGACGTCTCTGAAAATTTATAAACTCACAAGAGCATGCTATCCGTGGCTCAACTGATAATGGTATGTTTTGGGAACTAGCTATTTTGGTTGGCTTTTTGTCTTTTTACGAAAAGACGTGCAAAAAAGTAGAGAGAAAAGTTGACTTACCTGGAAATCATTTTCTTCAAAGTTTGTAATGTTATCACGCCAGAATATAGGATCTTTGTGCATGGGGGACCAGTCAAGATGACCAAGGAGTACTTCCTGCTTGTACTTATCAAAAGAACTTAGTTTCTTAATGTTATCTTTCAGCCCATCTTCCAGTTGATTTAGAGCCTCCAACAGGTCCTACCAAAGCCCCAAAATTCAATTTAAAAATATTAGTGCTACGAAAAGCATATCCTCATTCACGAGTCTGCAAAGTTTGTTCAAGCAAAAGATGATGTGACCAATCATCTTCTCAGTTTGAGAGGCTATTGGAAACTGATTTAACAGGAAACTTTGAGGAAATGTAGCAATAACCTTAAAGCTTGAGAAAGCCATCCTCATCATTAGAATCCCTATCTAATTATGCAACATTGAAAATAATAATATTAAAAACTATTTCACAACATTGTTTTGGATCATATATTACGTCTGTAGATACAATGATGAAGAAATTAAATTTGTGAACTAATTGAGACGATAGTTATCCATAAATGATGAAAGAAAATAACAGCAACCCAAAATGACTAGATTTACAGCTTTGTTGAATGAAGTATCCACGAAGCTTACCCTAGTTAAAAAGACAAGAAATCAAGTTTCAAAATAGTTCAGCATATGGGCATGAATGGGAACTAAATATTAGTAACTACCACCCTGCCAACTATTGTATTTGCATCCTCCAATAACCACCATGTCAAAATGCCGAATGTCAAAACTAAAGTTGGACACATATTTACCGCATTGTGACTGATAATCGTAATTGCTGGTATTGTTAAATACAACAGACAATACATTTTACATGAGAGAGAGAAGGGGGGGGGGGGGGGGGGGGGGGGGGGGGGGGAGGGGGGGACATATACCCTCTAGCTGTATGGCTGTAGGAATGGCAAACATGCATAGGTTGACTAGTTTGGCCAATTTTTACAGAATCAATCGCAAAGGTTTCCACAATACAAGGTAGAACATAAATGAAACATTCAGCTCACTTTTAACTCCTCTACTAAAAGAAACGGGTGGTAAATAGGTAATAGTTTTTCTGATATGATGGGTACTCTCAATTCACTGAATTCAAGGAATACATTTCCACGATCACCCATCTTCCGTCAAAACTCAATATAAAAATAATTAATTAGTACTAGTGGAGAGAATATAAAACACTGTAAGTCATAGGTTTCTCACCTCATCACTCCACGCCTGTGCTTTCAAACTCTGAACAACTTGTGGCAGCCCAAGGTCAACCATCTGAGCACCAAAAGTCCCTTTGGGAAGCAAGTTCCGGAGAGTCAACACAACCACCCTGACAACCTAACAAACGTTGATGCAACAAATTTGTTTAATTCAGCACATACATTCTCTAGAGTAGATACAGACACATTTACTACAAACATTAAGATGAGCAAATCAGTCCAACAGTGGCCTCGTTTGGAGGTTGGCTATTTTAGTTTTTGGCTATTTTAGTAGGCTAAAATTTTTGTGTTTGGGAAGATGGTTGGATTTTTTTGTAGCAGGATGTGATGTTTGAGAGAAAAAGTGAACTGATTATGGGTTTGATATGACATTTTGTTTTATTGGCTATTTTAGCCTATTTTGTCTTTTTTTGGGATTTTCGCCAAAAAAAAGCTAAAAATCCACTTGCCAAAGTGTAATCTGGGGTAGAGTAGATTAGGAACATAAGCAAGAAAGAAAAAGACAAACACTATGTTACATGGACTCGGGTATGAATGTCGGGTTTGTATCTAGAGGTTGGATTCATCAAATCTCAAATTTACGAGTACGCGGACTCAGCAAAAAAACAATCATATTTTTATATTTTTAATTTATTATGTGAGATAAAATGGTATTATATGTAACATACAACATCAAAAAGGTGTTTTGTATTCCAACCGCCTCTTACGGAGCAAACCAACATCCTTCGCCCATTCAGGCATCAATGTCACATAACCTTTCTCTAGCCAAGAATCTCGTACCCTTGATCCCATTGATAATGAGTGTGTCCAAATAATTTGATCGGGGATAGCAGAGGTGATTTCGGTAAAGCGATGCATGAGTTGAGGCTCCCATGTCCCGCTGACCCTCCAAATCATATTTTTATATTTTTAATTTATTATGTGAGATAAAATGGTATTATATGTAACATACAACATCAAAAAGGTGTTTTGTATTCCAACCGCCTCTTACGGAGCAAACCAATATCCTTCGCCCATTCAGGCATCAATGTCACATAACCTTTCTCTAGCCAAGAATCTCGTACCCCTGATTCCATTGATAATGAGTGTGTCCAAATAATTTGATCGGGGATAGCAAAGGTGATTTCGGTAAAGCGATGCATGAGTTGAGGCTCCCATGTCCCGCTGACCCTCCAAAATTTAAATTAAAAAAAAAAAAAAAAACAGTAATGCTATAAGACCTCGTCATGTTCATCCTTGCTAGCATCCCGTACAAAAAATGCAACAAATGATACATATAAGATAGTGTTAAATATAAATATATAAAAAAAGTGTCAGACACATATCTCACACCCTTGTCCGAGTGTCGACACAGGTATTTGATTTATTGTGAAGAGTCCATGTAACATAGTAACTGCTATCTGCCTATGTACTCCTTGCTCTGCTAATAGTGATAGTTACAAATATGAATATAATTAGGAAGTGGGAAAGAAATTGGGAATCAATTCAACATGCAAAACAACCAAGAACTCACCTTCTCCTTTGTGGAACCCCTCACAACATCTGTTAATCGTGCAAGGGTTCTAGAAGTAGCCAAGTATTCGATTGCAGGTTCATAATAAGACAAGAGCCAAACACAGAGGCATGTTTCATAAAGAAGCTGTTTCAAAGAAAATACGCTCAGAATCATCAAAATCTACATAGGATGGGACAAGCAAAATGGAAACATTAAAAACCCAGTTACTAGCCCAGACTCAAAAGCCCAAAGCGTGGGCAGAATGAGATGCAAAGGCCACCCCACCTCCTGACAAATGGGATTTGAAAGTGCCAACTTACACAGAGATTGTTGGTTATTACTTATGTTGCACTAGTCCAGAAAGGCAAAGTTACCTGGATGGACTGCTGAGTGGATGCTGGAGAAATTAGAGGAATGAGCAGCTTCACCCCATCTGCCTGAACAAATGAAGATCTCGCCATGGGCTCCTTCAATAATGTAGCTAGGCAATTGATGGCTGTTGGGATACCACGACTAGGATGGGAAGGATTTTTCAGCTGCACATGTAATCATGCTCAGATATAGGTATGATGACTCATACTAAGGAAAATTATATCTTGCAACAGGAAAAAAACAATATTTGAGTGAAAATGATCAAGAGTTGAGTATAAACTCAGCTTCAAACCACTCGTCGAATATAAACATATCAAACTTAGTTATCTCATAGAGGACTAGTTTAGATGTTGTATCATAAATACTTCAAAGGTTTAGCTTAAAAATTAAATAGTGACACATTCCATTTGAAGTTGAAGAAATGCTGTCTAAGAGCATCTCCAACCCACTAATGCCTGATAGTTAAAATGTCTAGTATAACACATTTTTTTCAATGCACTAGGTATATGATTAGGGATTTTGCCTCAACTTGCATTCACTAGCTAAATGTAGCTAGCTTTCAAAGGCTAGGCAAAATCCATTTGACCTTTATGATCCTTTCCCTCCATCTTTGTCGCCAACGTGGCATTCCATAAAGTGAGTAGTATTTGGATGAATAACTAAAATAAGAAGTAGAGTTGGAAACATGAAAAAGCTGATAGGCAAAATAAATAAATATATATATATATATATTATAGTAACTTTTAGACAGGTAAAATGCCTAATAGAATTAGAGATGCTGTAACTCAGTTGGCTTTTGGGTAAGTTCTGAAGAGTAGAACATGTAGTTTGTTTCTGCTAGTGGAAGAAAGGTATTAGAAGGATCAAAATGGGATTGGACAATGAATGTTGTGGTTTGTATAGTTGCGGGAATTCCAAAAAAATATTTAGCTAAAAGCTCAGTACAGCTACTAATTTAGGGCTTGAGGTGTGACAGTAAAGGATTTGAGGTGGAAAGCACATCAGGATCATTGAAGTCGGGTTTTAGGTGAAAAGACCAATTGCTGGTTGCAGTTACTGTGTAACTTCAGCAGTTCATAGAAGAAGATAAGAAACCATGTAGGTAGTGACACTTGGAAGTTGTCAACACAATCCTTCAAGAACTGCTGCTGGAAACTTTAAAGACTAATCTCCATCAACCCAAACCTTAGCTCTGATACCTAAAGTTCAAGGAGTGATTGTTCTTCTTCTACTCTTCAATTCTGCACAGTCAACCCCAAATTTAATAGGTTTTCCCTGTCTAAAAGCCTAACTTCATAACGCTGATCCGTTTCCCCACCTTATTAGTTGTCAAGCCTTATCCTGACACCCCAATAGGCCAATACACTGAAAGTAGCTGTCCGGAAATTCTAGTAATTTTATTCCACTTTTAAACTCTAGACCTACAGCTACAAGCTTCCCATATCATACGTCCACAGTCAATTGGAGGCAGTGATATGAAAAGAACAAGACACTAGTCACAGGTAACCTGCTAGCTAGCACTAGAAAAATTTACAAGTTGTGAAGCTCTAAAGAAACTAATGAATCTCCTGACAGAAATGAAATGCAAAAAGTACTAATTTCATATTTTCAATCTTGAAACTTATTTTAGAATGTTACACACCTATGTTACAGCTTCCTCCATAAAGAGAATTGTTTTTGGGTTCCTTTGAGGTTAATTCAACACCTTAACCCATATAATCTAACCAAAATGCACCACTTGGCTTCACTATTTGTTAAATAAATTGGTTTTACTATTTGTCGAACCAAAATCAAATAATGTCTCAACAATCAAACCAGTAGTGCTCAGGCTGTGATACCGTGAACCTCTCCCAAAACCTCCAAATGAAGTAGCAAGAAGAGAGCTAATTCCCCTAGAAGCAAACAACAAAATCCTTGAAATAGCTACTACCTCTTTGCCCAAGACCCAGTGGAGAATCCAATTATGCACACATTTATCATGAAAACTGCAAAAATGCCATAAAATTTCACAGAGAGACATAAATTGGAATGATCTTATGCATTTAAGCATAGGTTGAACATTTTCTCTCCTTTTTTTGTTTTTAATTGTTAAGTTGTTAATAACACCAACTGCTTGATTTTATTTTAACAAAATTTGTTTACTTCCATACAAAGATCCATTCCATGACTCAGGCCCCGTTTGGGAGCTTGCCTTTTTTAGTGGCTTTTAGGCTTTTTTATGAGATGAAAAAAGTTAGTGTTTGAAAAAAAAAATTTAGTTGAATAGATAGCAGTGAGGAAGAAGTGATTGGTTGATGTGTACAATGTGAACCTGTGCCAGGGGTGTTGAATTTTTCGCTCTTTTTTGTGGCTTTTTCACTTTTTAAGCCAAAAAGCCACTTCCCAAATGGGGCATTAGTCTAACTCCCTGGAAAAAGTTAGAGAAACGCATAAGTGGAAAAGTAGAAGTGTGAGGCATTAAACAAGTGTCTAACCAACTACAAAGTTGTTCATTTACATAATAGCCGCTGATCACATATAAAATAGAAAATTTCTGACTGACCTGTGCACAAAGCCATTCCACCAGACCCTTCAAAACATCATCAATGGTAGTCAATTGCTTCTTCGAAGTTGATGTTTCTCCATTTGCAAACTGGTCTTTTGGCCTAGCACTGGAATTACCCAGAAAAGAAGGGAAAAGAATGGTTACTGAAATTTGGTTACACCAAAAATTCAATCTGATTCTTAATGCTTTGAACTATACTGTGGATAGGTCATAATTCAAGTACCTCAATATAATTGAAAGTATCTTACAGCTCTTTTCTTGTATGAACCAGTTACCTTTCCAAAGCAATCTGAAAGTGGAACTATGTCAGTGCACATTGATTTGCAGAACATTAAAAAAACTAATGTCTACCAACTGAAAACATCACTCATTTTCACAAGCCATTTAAGAGGTATGTTGCATCTTCATATAACACAAGAATTATGATAGAGTGGATGAAGGGAAATAGAAAGGAACAAAACTTACACACACAACCTAAGAATATTTACAATTCAGCTACAACAATGATTTCACAATATATACAAACTTTCAGCAACTGCATTGGTTCAAGTAGCTACCTCATGAGTAATAAAGTACTTCCGTCAGCAGAAAATACGACCAGCCTTTCTGCTGGTGGCTAACTATGTGGCAGTTCCAAAGTCCAAACACACAGAAGTACAGGTAACTAGTTGACTCCACAGCATTAGGTAGGTTGACCTACTGGATATTGTAACATCAATGTAAATGGCAATCTAGGTTATGCTGGTTGACCAAATTTTAAGGGTGCAAATCAAGCTTCAGAAACAAGAATAGTCATAGATGCACACTTCAAGATCACACGGTTCATGCTTTACTTTTTCACATAACTGCATTATTCCGCAGAACATGCTTTCAAAAAATTACAATCAAACTGTATTTACTCCCAGTTCATGCTCTAACAATACTGGGTGCTCAAGTCTTTTATAAAATGTGACAATACTTATTAAAATTAGCTTGTAACCACAGCCACAATAGGCAGTAAACACCTAACCTATTAGCTAAATGATAATCAGACCCTAGCCAATATTGCTGCCTATCACCTTTCAATATTTAAAGTCCATGGCCCATGTGCTTATGGCTAGTGTTGCTCAAAAGATGAAAAAGGAACTCCTTTAGGCTTGGATTGATGAGCAAAGGAACTATCCAATTGTGCCTCTGGTAGACTAAGATAATGTGTCAAATCTGAACTGATATGATGGGGATACCTCAAAGTACACACTTGGAAAAAGAAGAAAAGAAAGAAAGCACGTGTAGACCCTACCAATGGACCAATAATTCCCTCAATAGCCAACACCTGAACAAGACTACTTTCTACTTTAGGATATGTTTGGTCAAAACCACATGACCTAGGTTAAAACACCCGCTAACTACCTTAGGAAATTGGTTAGAAATGCTACTACTAAGAATTAGGAGAATGCAATCAAGAAATTAAGGGAAAAGGAAAACAAGATAAAGAATTATCGAAGTTGCATCGACAAAAGGACCGAATTCCATGACATTGCAATATGTGATCCACCATATTTATTTCATGAGATGCTGGTTGAGGGTTTCACACAAAGGGGTGTGGGGCAAGGAAGCTGTCAACTGAAATAATAAATATAACGGCTTTTAAAAGCTAGACAATGTTCGCATCTATAGATGCGAACACCACCTGGCGACGCGCCCCCACACGCACGTGTGCCACATGCCACCGCTTGGGTTTCTTTTTATTTATGAACTTTGTGAAATATTCATGTGAAAAGTTTCATTGATGCCCCACAGCATCACATATTCAGATACACCAATATTAAAATTCGTGGACACCGAAGGATACCTACCTTACGAAAGGTTCGTAAGTATCTTCATTTGCAAGAGACTTATCATGAAATAATCTCGCTCTTTTTGGGTTTGCTGCCACGGGAAAACAATATTAAGTCAGTTAATTGAATTTCATTTGATAATTAGGATGAAATCTTTTCCAGTTACCTGTAAGCATTTCATCAATTAAAGCTAGAACATATTCTACTGTTTCTTCCTTGAATATGTCACGTAATATGCTAACGAACACACGAACATAAGCTGGACCATCCTGTCACAGTTTTTCAACTTGTCAACATCCTTGGAAGTTTATTCATGAGATTACTTCATTACATTGTAAATCAGCTATAAAAATTTCTTCTCAAGGATCTTATGACGTATTAAAAGTGCAGCCATCTAAAGAGCTTTTAGCAACAAATAAACCATTAAAGCCTGAAACAAATATGATTGACGAACAAAAGCTAGTGTGAAGCTGCTTATAACAATTTAATTTTGCAATATTAAATTGAATCCAATCTTAAGCATAACATAATATGTGTCCTGAGATGAGCTCCACAACTACAGGTAAGGATTATCCAATAAAGAAGCATTGCTTGGTGCAACTGCAAAAATGTATACCCACCTTAGTTCACATAATCTACATTAATGGAGGTCTGAGAGGGGTGGACTGGGTACAAACCTAAATTTTAATGGAAAGTGGTTGCCCTCGGATTCGAACTCACATCCTGAAGGTTATGTTAGAATATCTTTAATATGCTATAACATTTTCTTTTCCCTAATAAGGCAGGAGAAAAAAAATCCAAAAGCTATATTGACAACATCCATATAAAACGAGTTCATACATCCACCAAACCACATATTTAATATACTTGAGCTTAAAACACAAGAAAAGCAAAAGACACTTGATAAATAAAAACATCCAAAATATCATTCCTAGAAGATTTTGATTTAATGATAACAATATATAGAGGAATGAAGCAACGACAGACAATTTATTTTATAAGTCATCCCATCATCTAAAAGAGGTGGCGCCCTACAATTTATATTATACTAATAAATTTTCAATAAAATTGAAATTTCACTTCGGACATAAAAGAGGTGGCCCCAACCACGTGTATAATATAATAATTTTTTGGGGAAATTGCACGGACAACCTTTGAGGTTTGGAAAAAATACATGAAGCCCCACAAGTTTGGCATAATTATATTGGGCTCCATTAATGTTTTATTACATAACACGTAACTCTCTTTTCATCTATAATACATTAGTTGTACCAATGTTTTTTAAGGTGAAAAGCGAACTGAGGCGACAAGGTCTCCTGACGCCTAAGCGCGAGGCGAGGAGGCGAGGAGGCGAGGTGAGGGCTTCATCGAATTGAGGCAACCGCAAAGATATTTTTTAAAAAATAAATAGTATAGACAAAAATATAAATATTTTCAAGAACCATCATGCATTTGTCATTCCAAATACTAAATATCCATAATTAATAGAAAATATCCAATAAAGATAAATACAATCCACTAATCCAAAGGTTCTAAGAATCATCTTCAACATCAAGCAAATGAACTTCTTCTTCATTATCATTGGCTTCATCACATCCCTCCGCATCTTCTTCCTCTCCTTCATCTGAAATTGACTCTTCCTCATCAAATAAGTTGTAATCTAGGTCTAGCTGCTAATTTTGAAGTTGAACGACCCATTTCTATTGCCCTTGTTGATCTAGTTCTTTGGCTACTTTCCTCAACTCCAGCAGCTCTAGCAACATTGATCCTCTTGGGCAATTAACCAAAAAATTAATTAATGACCTGTTTCTTTTGTCCTTCCACCCATCGGCCATTAAAGAGCATCCATATGTTACCCAATTTTTTTTATGATCCTCCCTGATCCTTTTAGTGTGGTCTACATCTTTCTAAAAATAAGGAACCCGCACCTCATGGTAGCTTGGTAGTTTCATGCCAGGACCATATTGCCCAAAAGCTTCAACCATTGGCCCAAAACTATTGTAGTTCACAACATTGAAAGGTATACCCGTATCATACATTCACCTCGCAAACCAAACAAAAGCCCGATCTCTCAACACCTTCTTGCTAGGATCATTATCTTCAATTCTTGTTTGCTTCCCCTTCGCTTAACGATTTTGCACTGCAACTTCCGGATCAGGGGTGAAGTACATATCCATGGGTCCCTTTTTCTTTGGTTGTTTGGAAGCAACAGATTTGGAGGAGCTACTGCCTTGTTTTCGATGGGTAGAACCTTGAGTAGGAACAGGCCTTTTACTATGTTAATTTATCTCAAGAATTTCATCATCATCATCTTCATCATTATCCATCTCATCAAAATCAGGAACCATCCTCAATTGCACCTTTGATTGACTTTTTTCAGACATAGTCTTTAATCTCATCTTTGACATGAGATGGACATTTTTTTACAAGCAACAACATCTTTATAACCACCAGCAAGATGTTGCTTGACTTGGTAAACACCGCCATTCATTTCTTTGTCATAAAAGTTGCAAATGAACTTTGAAAGGTTTTGGAGATTTACCATCTGTGCATATTGCCATGCCGGATCTTTTTTACTTTCAGTCAACTTCGACATCTAATTCTAACCAACCAAGCAATTTAATGTTAAGAAACGAAGAAACAATTAAAGTGCAAAGAAAAAAATAGTTTCAACATAAAGAAATTAAAGAACAACATATTTTTGGCAGAGGTAATCATGGAAAAATAGTGTTTCAGCAAAATTAATTGAAATTTTTTCAGCAAACTAATTGTACAATTAACACAGCAAAATAATTAAACAATTGTAAAATCAATTTAGTAAAATTAATTGAAAATTTTTTCGACAAAATAAATAAGAAGAGAAACAAAACAAGAACCAGGAAAGGTTAAAAAAAGGAAAAAAAAAAAAAGGAAAAAAAAAAGGTCTGTTGAAAAAGAAGAAGAGGGGGGGAAAAAAAAAGTTCAAAGAAGAAGAAAAGAAGATGAAAGGAAGAAGAAACAGCAGGAGAAGACGAAGACAAGAAGAAGAAGAAAGGAAGAAGAAGCAGGAGGAGAAGACGAAGACAAGAAAGGAAGAAGAAGAAGCAGGTACTCACCTCCTCTTTCGACTAGAACAATGTCGGAAGCAGGTAATTTGCGAGGTTCTTGAAAGCAATTGTGGATTGGAATGATGTCGACTAGGGTTTCAACTTCTTATTTAGTAGAAAGCAATCATAAAGTGCAACGCATGTCCACAAATAGCACAAAAGTCATTCAAATTAAGGGTCCCAGATCTTTCGAACTGAAAGCAGACAAAAAATGGTGAAGCGACGCTTCGCATTGCCTCTCGCGTCGACGCCTAAGCCTCGCTTCATGCGCTTCGACTTCACTTCACTATTTCGCCTCGCCTCAATGGGTATGAAGCACTAAAAGGTCGCATCGCCTCACTTCACGCTTAGGTGAGTGCCTCTAATAACACTAAGTTGTACAGATAGAAAAATGATGTTGTCATTATTTTTACACTTAAATATATATTTTACCTTATTTATCCTATGTCTACGCAGCATCTCCATCAGTTTTGGTCGCAAAACCTAAGGGTGCAACTCGGGTGGATTCAGTCGGGTTGGGAGGTCCAAGCCCAACCCAAGTTGTGCTAAGACATGCCTAGGCCTGAATTGTAACCCGAGATTGTTTGCCTAAGCTCAACCTGAGTTAAATCCGAAATGCCCGAGTTGCTCGAATTGTACATGAATTTCAAAAAAATTTTTTCCCAGCTAAATTATTAATTTATTAAAATTAGACTCTATTTACATTTTTTTTAAATCATTAATAACATCAAAACAAATAATTTATATAATGTAAGAGAAATGACGCTATGGTAGTCTTTATAATTTATGAGTGAATAAAAAAGGTAAGATTTTGTATTACTTGTATATAATATATATTCAATATAATTTAATAATCTAAATTACTTTAATATCATGTAATAGCTAATAATTTATACGTATATTTAATGTTTTTTTATATCTATATATGTATAATTTGGGCTTTGGGTTGTTTAATGTCTTTGTCCAAGTCTACCCAAATTTAATTCGGGCTTCTCAATTTTTGCCAAAGCTCGTCCTGAATTTTTTTAGGGCTTGAACAATATATTTTTGAATTCAGTACGGGCTTTGGCAAAAATTGCACTAACCTCCACTTTAGTAGGTAAAGCTAGGGGTGCAAAGCCCGCCCAAATTGCACCCCTAGCTTTACTCACTAAAGAAGAGGTCGGTGTAATTATGCCAAATTAGTGGGGCTTGTAAAGTGGTCAATGTAATTTACCAATTTTTTTAAAGGAACTACTAACATAGTTTCTTGCCTAATGTCGTTATCATACTTTTGGAGAATTACATTCCCTTTTGGGGTGTGTACATGCACCCAGTTATGACTTTAGTGGTGTTTAGTTATGCCCCATTGTGTCTTTTAGTGTTGTGGGGTGACCTAAATGTCATGTCCAAATGGTTATGAACCTAGTGGTGTTTGGTTATGATGCATAGTTGTGTTTGGTTATAACTCATAGTAGTTTTTTGTTATGAACCTAGTGTTATTTGATTAAGACCCATAGTGATCTTGGTTACGAACCAAATCAACAGTTCAAATTCAATTTCTTTTACATCCAAAACTTAGAAGTCGATGCATATGGGTATGCACCTTTTTTCAAGGGTGTATTGTAGTCTTTTCCCTAGATTTTTATCACTTTAGGGCCTTAACAAACATCGTGTTTTGTACAATATGGAAAGGTAGTTATATAACCCTATTTTGTTGTTTTTTTGTTTTGTACATGCCTATCTTAATATTGTCTGAGAATTTTATTTGCGGATGTAATGATTTTTTCATTTCTATACTTTTAAAAGTGCATCTTTTAGTAACTTACATATGATACTTTAGCTATGGATGAAATAATTAGAACTTTGTTGCCAATTTTGAATGCATATAGTTTGGGCTCTGCTTACTATAATTTCTGCATCCGGCAGTGGAATGAAGGGTGTCATGACAAAAAGAACGGCAAGAGAATGACATTGGATTTGATCAAGAGTTGGTACAACAAGTAATGACAATAATATCATCTTAAGAACTAAGGCAGGAATAGCAATGAACATTACATCATCCAGCAATGCAGCTCGGTGACTTTCTGATCTGTTATCATAACGCCTTAACAGCTGAAGGCCAGTTCCGGTGATCAATTTAGTTGTCATGTATGTCTCCCATGGGATATCCCTCTTGAGAACCTGAGTATGAGCACAGAACAACAAAATAATCAAATAGATCCTATTAGCCTCCCGTAAATGCATAAATGTTGAACACAAATTGACAAATTCAGCTATACAGACCTAAAATCTGTTAGACACCACAGGAAGTCAAGTGAAATTTTTGAAAGCAAATATTAACAAAGTGTGAATGATAAAAAGTCAAATGGATAATCAAGGAGCCATGGTATCCTAGAACCATTCATAAACGCTTTTAAAGCAAATATTAACAAAGTGTGAATGATACAAACTCAAATGGATGATCAACTATGCATGGTATCCTAGAACTATTTATAAACACAAACAGTTTCCCACCAACCCCTCAATTTCAACACCATGGTGAATCAGGGTCAGGTTATCTTATTTAAACCACAATTAGTGTTTCAAATGCTTTCAAAATTTGGTTTTTAAGGAGCAATCAAAACATTTCCTAACTGACAACACCTTAAAGCGTGAGTCCAGGCAAAAACGAGAGAGCAAAAGTTCTAAATTGCTAATCAATAGTGTTAGGATTAGTCCACCCATGTGATAATGGTGGGTCCCATATAGTTATTAGGTTGATTTATACATATATTTGGGTTAGGATAGTAAAGTCCGAAATCTACTAAAAACCTAGTATGTGTTCGATTTTGGTTACCTAATTGTATGGAACTAAGATTCTCATGCGTAGACTATTATAAATAGTCATGTGAACTATAAGACTTCTCTGAGAGAGATTGACAGAATGGCGAGAAAAAAAATAGAGATGTAAGGAGTGAGAAAAAATACAGTGAGGGCACTAGGGTGAGGAACGGTTCAACTACCCTTGAGCATGAGGTTCAAGTTGGGTTTTGAGTGTTTTGGCCACCTCACATGTATTCTCTATTTATTCATAGTGAAAGCTCTCTCTCCCGTGAATGTAGGTAATTTGGACCGAACTATGTAAATCCGTGTGTACTTGTTTTTCTCTTTGGTGTGTTCGTGGGTGTGCTTCCATTTGTGTTGGTGGTATATGGTATAAACCACAAGTAGCACCTTCAATACATGGATTTAACCATATTGAATCATTCTCAAGCTCTAAGCAATGGTTTTAGATGGACTTTCATTCTAGCCTATAGCTAATGACCTGACTTTGAGTCCCACCACTCCGTAATTTGTAGGAACTTTTGAAGGTTGAATAGAAACCATTCACAGCCAACACTGGTAATATGATAAAAAACAAAACAACCCAAGAAATTGTGAAGAACCAAATTTTCATAAGATAAATTTGCATGTATGACATGAATTTGCAGTAAGCCTTCATTATGTGTGAATGAAACTGCAACCCACTACGCCTACACAGAAGTTGCAATTTCCTTGAACTTACTAAAGAGAATAATTGAAAACATTATCCTTGCAAACCTTTTGGAGTCTTTTGAATATACTTGTAACATAAATTAAGAGTCTAAATATCTACAAATGATTAAATACAATATAGTATTACTAATATGTAAGTTCATATAAGGTAAGCTTAAAAAAGAAAAATAATGAAAAATAAAATCTAGGATTAATTTGCCATCGTAATGTTTCTTATCAGCAAACAAGAATGTGGTCATCAAAGATGTTTCAAGTGGAAAGCAAATTCTATGTGCTTGGAATAAGAAAAAGAATTAGTCTTATGCTAACTAGATATGACTGCCTGAAAGGCTTCATGCTTGATACTTGTTTTTACTCTTTGTTTACACTTCATTTGTCAGTAGCGACAATTCTAGAGATCATTCTCATGGTACAGAATTCTAACCAACAATAAAATGTTATAGGGTATTAATAGGTGACTCATTTTATATTTTCTGTGGTCTAATTCTTAAGAAAATAGAAGCCTTCATATATTACATTGTTTCTTGAGAGCCAACGATATCCAAATCCAAATCATGTAAACATATTATAACAGAAATCAAACTGATGTAAAAGTTGAATTAGGCCAAAAAAGGGCCAAATAAAAACTTAAGCTAAGAATCCAATGAACATACAAAGATGTGTATATATATAAATTACCTGCTCGGTAGTTAGCTCGGCATTATCCATTGGCATTGGAGAATTTGAGGAGCTACATGAATTGAGAGAGAGAAATTCACATCAATCTTGAGAAAGTATAGGGATTGCTCACAGATTGGTCACATAATTTAAATATGTAAAACTTATAATACTACTAAAAAATGTCTCTGGCAGAAAAAAAGAACATTCTTTAGACAAAATTATCCACACCAAGGTGAAAAAGAAAAATAGTATCTCCTGTAGCTCAAAAATATTGATACAATTTAAGATCAAATCTTACAAATAACAATCATTATCAATTTTTTTAGGGGGGACTTACGAGCCAGTCCTATTGACCAGACTTAAAAATACCTATAAGTCATGATCCTTATTTCACCTGTCAATATGCTCAAAAAGTGTTGGGGCAATAAGAATTTTAGGACTTACTGGTGCATTAAAAAAAAGGACAGGACTAGTAGGAATTTAAATCTATCACATAGGATTGGCCCATAATTTACCATTAATTTTTTTTTAAAGTATAATTCATTAACAAAGGGGCGCCAAGGGTTAATTTTTTTTTTTTTAAAGTATAATTCATTAACAAAGGGGCGCCAAGGGGGGTCAACCTGTATACAAAAAGGTGATACCAAATGACCTTAAAGACTAATCACAAGTTGCGAGTCTTTACAAAATCCAAAAACTGGTTCAAGGATGGATTAACAATCCCAGAAACCAACTATACAAAATGGACAATAATTTACTCTTCAAAAACAAATTGATTCTCCTTTGCCAACAAGATTTCTCATATTCCTTTCACTCCAAGCCAACCATAACTATGCCAAAGGAGCAAAAAACCAAGTCTTCCTCCTCCTCTTCTCCACCCAAGCACCCCTTCACAAGTAAAGGAGATCAATCCCCCACCTTGTTAGGAAACACCCAAACGAGGCCCAACAAACCAAGGACTTGGACCCACGGATCCTGGCCACCTCGCAATGGATAAGTAGATGGCTCATGGACTCATCTTAATGCTTACACATGCAACACCCAATTGACATGAAATTGCCTGCTAATCAAGTTGCCAATGGTGAGAATCTTCCCCACCTAAGCAGCCCTACAATCTCACAAATCATGTAATTTAATTGCATCCCATATCATCAACACCAAAATCATTTGATTTGGTGTACAATTGGCTTATTTCCATGCTTGATTAAAACAATTAATGTGAGAGTGCTTGCAAATAACTTGGTGTTAGCTTCTCAAATTTATCTCATATATAATGTCATGCAAAATGGAATGTTCAAATAAACTAGAGAAGAAACCAGGTTGAGGGTCAGTGGGTCAATTGTTGGATGAACTATAACTGAACCATCACATTTAAAAAGCAAATCGATGGAAAATTAGCAACAAACCCAAAAGAAAGTCAGCCCTAACAACGACACCCTAACAAGTGGATATAGAAAACCCACCAAATCGATGTGTATAACTGAATAAAATAAAGCAGTAGTGCTTCAACGGTTACACAAATGGAGATAGACAGACACACACACACACACACACACAGAGAAACCTTCAAGATAGTAGTCGTCGATCTGTACCGTTGCGGCCGATTTGTGCTGTTCGCAGCTTCGATTTGTGTGGGTCGCAGCTTTGTTCTGCTGTGGCCAGAGAGAGAAAGAGAGAGGGGGGGTTGTGCGTTGTCTGCTCGTGATTAGTGTCGTTTTCCTTAGTAGTCGTCGTAGATATCAGTGATCTTGTTGTAGGATTTGGAAGCCATTGCGTCGCTGTGGATCGCTCACGATGGTGTGATCTCGGCCTAGGACTCGCTGTGGATCGCTCACGATTGCGTCGCTGTGAACCTTTAGAGAGATTTGGGGATAAGGTAACAGAGGCGCCGAAATGAGATAGTTTAGAGGGAAATTTGAACATTGGCGAATTTGGGAGGAAGATAAAATATTAGGTGCTGTTTGGTTGATTTTTTTTTGGAAAATATTTTTTTGAATTTTTGGTTTTAATTTTTTGAAATTTGAGATTTTTATTTTTACTTTTAGTGAATATTTTTAAAATTTTAAGCATTTTTTTAGATTTGTTTAGATTTACCTTACTTAGATTTGAGTTTTGAAAAAAGTTTTGAGTTGTGTGTTTGGTTATGAGTTTTGAAAAGTAATGATTATAGTTTGAAATGAGTTTTGAGAAATGGATGTAGAATTATGATTTAAAAACTGCAACCAAATACCACACTCAAATCAGTGGTGGAACTATGTTTTGAAATCTAATCCAAACAGAGCCTAATTCGTTTTTCTATATATTTTTTGTAAAAATAATTTCAAAAATTTGTTGAAAAATATAGGTTACGTTTGATAGAATTTTAAAATTATGATTTGATAATAGAGTTGTATTTTGAGTTTATGAGTTTTGGAATTATGACTTGAGTGTACAAAATTTGTTTGGTTATGAGTTTTAAAAAGAGATTAAATTGACTGATGTGATATATAATATTGAAAAGTAAGTGTTTTGAAAAGTGGGTGTGGAATTAATTTTCTAAAACTGTAACCAAATAACACGCTCAAACTCATGGGTAGAATTAAACTTCAAAAGCTCTATCAAACAGAGCCATAATCTATCAATGTTAGGTCCGATGGATTTTTTTTTTTTTTTGATGAGAGATTGGTGGATATTTTATTTTTGTTGATTTTGTGAAATTGTTTGGTGACAATTCTTTTTGTTGTTTTATAGGACATTTTATTTTTAATTTTATCCCTTAATTTATCTGTTTAATTTTTTTACTATCTATTTAATTTGTTTGACTATCTGTTGAATATTTTTTTCATCTGTTTAATTTTTTTTATCTATTCAATTTTTGAACCTATCGATTTAAATTTTATCTATCCAAACTGAATCTATTTGTTGAGAGAGAGAGAGAGAGAGAGAAAACCAATGGGCTTTATTTTAGAAAAACCTTCAAAAAAATCTTTTATTTATTCAAATTCTCAATTATTATTTTTATTGGTTTAAACAAATAGATAAACAAACAACACCAAATCTAACAAACAATAGATCACAAATTTCTTTAAACAAACAAATCACACAAACATATCACAAAGGCTCTATCTGTTTGTGTTGGATTTAAACAAACAAATACCGAGCTAAATCATCCAAATCTAGCAGATTTTTCTAACAAACAACACAAATATGCTAAGGTTTGAGAGACAAAGAAAGAGATGATTAATCTTTGTCAAACTAATGGAAGTTCTTTGAAGAAACCCTTGTAATCATCTTATGGCATTAACTATTGCTTTTCAGATTGAAGGAGATGACGATGGTGGCGGTGGCTAGGGACCAAATCGTAAAGGGAGAGAAAGAGAGAGAGAGAGAGAGGTGGTGGTGCTGACGTATGACTACAGTGGTGGTGTTGGATCTGGATCTGAAAACACATCTTCGAAATCGTGTCTAGGAATGGCAATGGGGGCAATGGGGTGGATATTAATTCCCCATCCCCATTCCCTTATAATAAATTTTCCCAATTCTCCATTCCCCATTCTCCATGGGTACTACCCTCCCCATTTTTTAATGGGTATAGATTTTCCCCAACCCCCTTTAATCTCCATTTTTATTTTTTATATTTAATGTTAACAACCACTTTTTTTTTTTTTTTTTAAGGTTCACAACAAAAACTAAATATACACTCTCACCTTACCCTTGTCATACTTGTATGCATTCATGCATGATCTTGTCTTGTTATATCGTTTTGCTAGTTTTGCCTTGCCTTGGTTTGTTTGAGTATTGCTTGCGTGATTTTGTTCCCTGCTCGGTGTGTAGCCGAGGTCATCTTGAGCTTAGTGCACCTTTGAACCTTTGTACTTAGAACGTTTTGGAACCACTTGTTCGGCCCCCGTCTTCACCTCGGGTATGTTGCCGAGATGTTTTGCACTTAGTGATCCTTGTCCTTGGGCAGGTATGGCCTAGACCGAGGTGTGGCACACCCCGGCCAAGGTGTGGCACAGCTTAGTCAAGTGTCGTCCTCCCTAGCCGATGTCTTTGTTACCCTGTTGCCGAAGCTTTGACTTTAGCCGACATCAAAAATTATTGCGAATGTGTCTCTGCCCGGACTGCTGCATACGCTTTGTCATAAGACTGTCTTATCAATCAATCACCTTTTGAGTTGAAACCAACCCGGTAACGCCACGTGTCCGAGCTGATTGTTAAGACAGCCGGCAGACCTAGAAACAAATCATTTTGTCTCAAATCTTTGCCTTTAGAGAGAGAAGTCTCTAGAGTAGGAGGAGAAGTTCTTGAGTGAGAATAGATCTTCCAAGCTTGATCTTCGAGGTTTGAACCGTTGGATTCGAGTTTTGAGGTTAGAATCTTGATCTACTTTGGTTGTTGTTATTGATCATCTAGCTGCATTGCATGATCGAATCTGTTTTGCATGTCATGCATTGATTTGAAGTTGGTTTTGGAAGAGAAAGATAGTATTCATGTGTTCTTAAAGAAAAGTCTCGTTTTGATCCGAAAGTTTGGAGCAAAAATCATGTTTTTGTGTTTGTTCTTGTATGACCTTCTTGTATGGGTACCCAGGTCCCTGTTTTGAACTCATGGCATGAAATCTCTGATTTTGTAACAAGTTATGATCTTGCATTCATCTTTCTCATGATAATGTTCATCATGTCCTTCATGTTCTTCAAAGGGAAACCCAGACTTTCCCGACTTTGCTTTTGAATAAGGCCATCGGGACCATACCTCGGCAAGGAGGTGTAGGACCTCGGCAAGGACCTGGTTGGTACCCAGTGTGTTTTCATGAGACGAGAGTAGTGTTTAAACTTCCAGCATGTTTTGCTTTGTTTTTGACTTGGATCTGGTGGGGATGCCGAGATCATCTGCATGCGCATAAGCTTGTTTTGAGAATGTGATTTGCCATGTGATGTAGGACCTTGATCTTTGCTTTGAGCCTGCACCTGAAGAACTAGGTGAGTGGTATTTCTAATAAAGCTATGTTATACTGTTTTGAGAAATTTTGCTTTGCTTTATTTTGACGAAAGTATTTGTTAAGCATGAATGAATAGCCCTGTTTTGATGTATCAAGTATAAGCTTTGTTTTGTATTCACGTCGGCGATGTTATTTCTTTTACGTCGGCGAATCTTGAAAATCATGCTTCTTGGCTTGTATTCACTGTATTTTGTATATGACGGCTCGAGAAGCCTTTTGATCAAGATGTAATACGTATTTTACTTTATTGTATTCAAGTTGTAAAGATGTATGCCATATCATTGGACTTATGCACAGCTCTTATGGACTACTTGTATTTTGATTTATTGCTTCCGCATTTGTGAGCCCCTATATCCATATTCTGATTGTGTTAAAATTTTGAAAGTTGGCCTTCGGTAATTACGGATTACTGGCCATCACGGCACCAAACTACTAGGGGCGGTTTGGGGTCGTGGCAGAGAGAGAGAAAACCAATGGGCTTTATTTTAGAAAAACCTTCAAAAAAATCTTTTATTTATTCAAATTCTCAATTATTATTTTTATTGGTTTAAACAAATAGATAAACAAACAACACCAAATCTAACAAACAATAGATCACAAATTTCTTTAAACAAACAAATCACACAAACATATCACAAAGGCTCTATCTGTTTGTGTTGGATTTAAACAAACAAATACCGAGCTAAATCATCCAAATCTAGCAGATTTTTCTAACAAACAACACAAATATGCTAAGGTTTGAGAGACAAAGAAAGAGATGATTAATCTTTGTCAAACTAATGGAAGTTCTTTGAAGAAACCCTTGTAATCATCTTATGGCATTAACCATTGCTTTTCAGATTGAAGGAGATGACGATGGTGGCGGTGGCTAGGGACCAAATCGTAAAGGAAGAGAAAGAGAGAGAGAGAGAGAGGTGGTGGTGGTGACGTATGACTACAGTGGTGGTGTTGGATCTGGATCTGAAAACACATCTTCGGAGTCGTGTCAGTCTCATCAGCACTGTAATTGGACTCCTTAGCACTAATGTTTAACCATTTGTGCATGACAATCTTAAGCAAGAAAAACGGTAAGCACGTGCAACCGAAACAAACATATTTCAGCCCAACTTCTTTGCAATTCCTTTCAAGTCATCGCAAAGAAAGCAAAACATAGAGAGAGAGAGAGAGAGTGAGAGAGAGAGAGAGAGACAAAGAAAAACGACAGCCTTACAAATCCGATGGATTCTAGAGAAAGAAATTATATACATATATATACACATATACAGAGAGAGAAAGACCTAAGCTCGGTGGTAGCGAGATAGTCCTTGGGGTGGTTCGGTCGTCGGCAGTCCCGCCAACTATCTCCTTACCGACAGCGACTTCTTTACTATCATCTCCAAGCCCAACAACATCTCTTTCAAATGACGACGTCAAAGCATCTATCAAGTTACTATACATGTGACGATGACCTTTTATAGATAGTTTTCCCTAAAATCTCTTCACCTCTTCATCGCCGCCGAAGCTGAACTCCAACCCCTCAAAGAAGTCGACGTCGAGACACAACCAGCTAAAGTGGTTGGTGGCAATAGAGGTGGTGGTGGTGGTGGATTTGAAGGAGAACTCATAGAAAAAGGAATCGACAGCCATAACGGTGGTGGTGGTGTCAATGTCAGAAGAAAAAGAAGGAAAGTTAGACAACAGAGAGCAACGAAGTAGAGAAGAGAGAGAAAAATAG